GCCCGATGTTTCTAAATTGGCACAGCTCTTTGCTTTTTCAGCCCACCTTTCAACATTCATGTCAGTCGACATCATTTATTAATACGCAGCTAAATATCTCTGCAAACATTTGTCGTCTGTGTTTTAATTTTCATAAATACGTTTTGGGCAGGACGACTTTTACTGCACTCATGCATAAGCTGATAAAACACACACACACACACACACACACACACACAGAGGCACAATATGAGTGAAAGAGGTGTGAAAGCCAAGTGTGTTAGATCATGTCATCAGGGCAATATGTGCCCATGCTGCTCAACATATGTCCCTGTGGCTTCAGGTCTCATCCTGTGATGATGTGAAGAGCTTGCTGTTTATGTGAGGGAAGTGTGAGCATAAAAGCTTACTGTGCTTTGTGTGTGTGTGTGTGTGTGTGTGTGTATGTGTGTGTGTGCGCACCCCTACTCCCCGATCGAGCCATTCCTGTGGCCATAAATGCACACGTTTCAATGTGCAAGCTATCATAATTCATGCATTATCAACTAGAATAATAAACCTCTCGCACCAGCCAAAGCTTGTGTGCTTCATGACTATAAACACTGGCATCTGCAGCGCATCGCCCTCCAACAGATGACCAAAATGAGATGTGAGGCACCCACAGTTTATGATGCGAAACACAAGTTCACATCCGGTTGAAGTCCACTGACATTTTACATGATGCAGTAATTGTAGAGATGCTTAGCCAGGCTGTAGACACATGTTGTGCATGTGTCTGTCTGCGCCGTCGAGCAGCAGGTCGAGGTGCAGAGGAAATCGAGCTCACAGAGGATGTTTGGTGTCTTAGTGGAGCGCGGGGAGCTGTTTATGTGTACGCGTGTGTCCGAGTCATTGAATAATTGATGAGGGCGGTGAAAAACAGCCCACATACACAGGCTCCATCTGTGACCTCGGTTGATAAGAATCGTTGCCGTCTATGAAATCAGTAGCTTCCCCCTCACTGTGAGGGCGCAGGAGGTTCAAAGCAAGGGGGAGGGAGAGGAGGAAGAAAGAGACACATATGGAACAGTTTAATACGAGCAATATAGCTTTTTACATCTGTAAACTTGTGATAAAGAGAGATATCTGTTGTTGCAATGGGAAGATATGGCTTTGAGAGAGCCAAAATTATACTCTGTCTGTTTGCACCTTGACAGACATTCCTCTGAGCTACAGGTCACCAGGAGGAGAAATAGGGACTGATTATGGAAAAAGACACAACTGCATGATCCCAGTCTTGTGTGGACATTGTAGAAACAAATGGAACCCTGCCCCTTTCAAAGAGCTCAAACTTTGAATAGTCTGAAATGTTTGGATAAACGGTTATTCGCGCTTTTGCTGAGTTAGATGAAAAGATTCCACTCTAATGTTGGACTTAAAATAAGAACCTGTAGCTATGAGACAGTAAGCTTAGCAGGTAGCCTGGCTCTGTCTGAAGGTAACAAAATCTGTTTATCAGCACCTTTAAACTGAACTATGTTTTCCTTCCTGCAGTTAACATGCATCTACGTGTCCACAACAGGCCCCAGGAAGAGCGCCGAGCTTTGAAGCCAATTTTCGTAGTGGCCAAACAGTGGTATTGCAATTTACGGGGTTCTGCAGCCAAAAGACTTTTTCCCATTGACTTACATGGCGAAAGAGACATCTGTATATCAGTAGATAAATTTGTTTGAGTGACATCCCTGCAAAATGAATCGTTTCACTCTCAGTATTTGATTTGTTCGGTCTGATAATATTTCGGAAGTCTAGAAGAGCTTCACAATTTAAGTTAGCGGAAGTTAGCTGTTTGGCCAATGAATGGAAGATGTTTGGCTATGCTTGGCTGCTCTAAGTCTCTGGTGCGCCAGCTCTAGGGACCACACAGTGTGGCAACAGTGCCGATCATCCCTGGATCATCTTTGTGATTTTATAGGCGACATTCGAACAATTTTGGGTGCATGCGCCACTAAGCAACTGCGAGGGTCCACTTTGGTCTGTGTGACGTAAATCTCGTCATCCACTCATGTCTGTGAGGGTTTGCACAGTGACTGCGCATGCTCCAATCTCTTGTTCCACACACTGGTCCAGTCCAAACAAGCCAGCTGCAGCTGCACTGTGGTGAAGTTAGGTTTAGGTTGGATATTTGACAGACTCTTACTAGGGACTCAGCAGCATCTTCTTAGTTTCAGGAGGACGGTAAACTCTCCTCCCAGCCCTTCCATTTACTGCCAGGGCCTGATGTGGGCCGTCTGTTGTACTATGAATACAACCGCATGCACGTGACCGTAGCTGTCTATGGACATTCAGTGTGGAAAGTATGTCTAAGCCTTGAGAGGAACTAGTAGGATGGAGCCAGGCTAGCAGTTTTTAATGTTTCCAGTCTCTATGCTAAGCTAAGCTAATGGCTCACTGGTTGTGGCGCACAGATGTGAGAGTGGTATCAATCCTCATCTGACTCCTACCAAGAAGGGGAATTAAATGTTTTTCCCAAAACATCAAATATTCCTTTATACTGTACATCAAAGTGCATGTACACGCTCAGTGTTGGGGTGATGGGAAGTCATTTGGGACAATTTCTGAAGTTTTTTTTTTTTTTTTTTTTGCCTTCACACACACACAAACTAAGCCATGTTTGAACTGAATGTTCTCTCTGCACATTTAAAACAAGGCCTGCTTCAACACATCACACACACAGACAGTCGTCAGTGTCACACATTCAGTCTATATATGGGATTCTTTATTGTTGACACACAACACAAAGCACTTGCAATATGTATCTGTTCTATCACAAATATACTCTATTGCACCAATGATGTTTTCTTATATTCTTTTTCACTATATAATGAAATGAATTCTATGAATATATGATGATTTTTCCCAAAGAAGAATCAATCCACACTGACTGTTAACCTCTGTACAAGGTTTTTCTTTTCTTATCTGATCTCTGTGTGTAGAAACTGCCATTGTTCTTGTTGTAAATGGTGTTTTCTGGCAAAATTGCGTTCTGGTGCTGTTGTTGTTTGACTCGGTGTACAGTTTAGACCTTCTCCAGGGCGATCTGTGTAACTTGGAAGACTCTGGAGGCATCTGGTTGAAACTGAATAAAGATTTTTTGGCAGCTGTTTGTTATCCCCTGTCACTGTGTCTTTATTTCACGAGCTCACCTGGTAGAGCGGGTGTCCAACCTATATTTACTTGACAGCTATAGTTACTAGTTACTTTTCAGATACAGATTTTACACACTAAACACGTGATCAGTTGATAAAATGATGCATTCTTTTGATTGACACTACCCAACAGTATATAAAGCACTTTGAAGTAGCCTCACCTGCACACACTGCTTACACATTAATGCATCATTAATAATAACAGCCTACATTAACAGGCGGCTACAGGATAATAGGTAATTCTGCTGCATATGAGTGTTTTTACTTTTCATATTCCAAGTACATTTTGCTCATCATACAAAATTTCTCATGTGCTTTTTTAGTAAAACATCTGACTTCCTCTACCACTTCGTAATATTTTCCAAAACAGTGACTGTCTGTTCTTTATCAGAATACTCAGACATTACGTCATGAAGGAGAAAAAACTTCATCTCAGCCCAGTAAGGATTTAATTTACGCCTTAACTCAGGTTGAAAAGAAAGAATCTCCCTCAAATATTACACAAAAATGATTCAAGTAATGGGACTGTTTGTAACTGATTACTTCCTATATTCACCTACACTATTACTTTATTTGATGCACATTACTACTTTTCAATTTCTTGTCCAATATGTTCTCAACATCGTGTTAAATATTAGTTTTCAATACCATGATCTCTCGTCAGTGTAGTGCAATATCATTGATCAGGTGCAGTCTGCTTTGTTCCACCATTTTAGTTCATTTATTAGTAACTCTTGTACTTATCTTGCTTCTATTGTTACTTTAGAAACTGATTTTTGCTTCTGCTCCTTGAAAACACTTCTTATCTTGTATTATATATATATTTTTCCAGATATTTAATACTCTACTGTTTTTAAAACTGGGCCTTGTGAGTGACCCTGACCTGGGGAAACCACCAGTTGTTGTGGTTGTTACTGGTTGTGAATGTTAATTGTTGTTACTGTAATCTGAAGCATTCTCTGGCACAAGAATTTCCTTTGGAATAATTAAAGTTTTATTGAACTGAATTCCTACCTTTGTCAATAACCACGCAACATCTTTTTCTACATTACTTATTGGATCAACAAAGGCTCAAATTCCCCACTGGACTCCAAGTGACAGACTTTTACATATTTTTAGTTACATCTAAATTTATACTTCTCTTTTTGCCCCAGCTGTAAACAAGATGGCATTCCCCTGCAGGCTTTACTCACGCCTCCCTGATAGTAGTGATGATATACAACATTCAAGCCCTTGAAACAAAGTTCTCTATGAACTCATTCTTGATCAAATAAGCAACAGGCAACCCCCATCCTTTTGGAAAACCCCTCCAAAAAACTACACAACCATGAGTTTCTCATGTCAGATAACAGAAACTGTTTTAACTTCCTCTAAAGATTTATATAGTGCTCAGTGAGAAGCAGTTCAGGAACATTTTCTAACAGGTATCCCCTCTGTATCCTCCTCAAATTGGGCTCATGGAGAGACAGATCTATTTAATCTAACATTCACCTGTTGTAACTATGAGTCAGTTCAGCTGTAGGTCAGTCTTCTCTCCAGTCTGATGCAGTCTGGCTGTAGAAAAATAAAGCCATCAGGCGTTGCTCATGTTCTTGGCTGCCCTCTTGTGTTCAGATGGGGTACTGCAGCTGAATTAAGTTTTGTTTTGTCCTCAAACATATTCTTTTTTTTTTTTTTTTTTTTTTTTACCTTCTGTGGGTTAATCAAATGTGTCCCCATATTACACACACTGATGTCACATCTTTAAAGAGTGTTGTGTTGCATTTGAGGAACTCCCCTTGCAGTCAAGTAAATTCCCATTTTCAGCTCCTTACATAGAACTCAGAACAAGGGAACTTCAGAGGTATTTTTTAATTAGATCATGTCTTCACTCCATGGTTCCAATTAAAGAACAAACACATCCTGTGTGTGTGTGTGTGTGTGTGTGTGTGTGTTGTATGACTAAACACAAATAAAATCCTCATGTCTGTGATAAATGCTCTCAGTGAACCAGGTCACTTCAGGAAAAGTGATGTTACACAAGGACACGAGAAACTGTACTGTTTAAAATCCATTTCTGTCAGCTCAGAGCAGCGACCACAGTTGTGTCATGGTTGGTGAAAACAAGATCTTAACAGCAGAAAGCCCCCTCGGCCTGTATGTGCTGTTCTCCCGGGACGCTGATCCACAGCGTGTGTGGCAAATTGCATCACTAATGAATAAGTGAGAAGATGATTCACATTCATGTTTAGCCACACGTCCACCAGCAGGGGAAGACTTGTACCAGGCTGGTTGTGCCCAAACACAGCACAAGTGTTGTGTTAAGGGGTGTGTGAAATTTGTGTTAGATCCTTGTGTCTTTCATGTGTGTACCAGAGGAAACCTCAGCAGTGTTCAGATTGGCTCTGCTTGCCCTTCAAATTATAGTCAACCTCCATCAGTGGCCCTGTGTGTATCAGACCACTATGGTGAAAGGAGCCCTCTAGTAGTTTAATACTTTCTACAAAACTCAAAAAAAATGGTTCTGTTCTTGAAGATATAATGCTGATTTTACCCTTTTCATACATTTAACATTTCCAGGAGATACTGCACATAATCCTGCAGTTTTCCCAGACTCTACTAAAAGAAGCAGCTTTTGATCATTTTGTGCTATTTCCTAGAGATCTGGAGTAACAAGACTTTCTACAGCCATGCTGCTTTAGTAGAATGGTGCTCTGAGTTTGTTGGCAAATCAGCCTGAAACCTGCCTTGCAATGAGAATACTAATATACTGATGGTAAGCAGGTAAAATGTTTACCATATTCACCATCTCACTTCAGTGTTTAATATGCTAACATTTGCTAATTAGCACAAAACACAAATGTTCTTAGTTTTAGTATTTAGTCATAAAACAGAGAATTAGAAAAACTTATCCCTGATGATGGTGCGAGAATGAAAAGTTAGGGTATCCATGAAATTATTTCAATTCATCCTGAGGGGGACACAAATGTTTGTGCCAAATTTTATGACAATCTATGCAATAGCTGTCGAAGAGAAACTCCTTCAGCTTGGTTTATGTGTCCAAGTGAGACAACAATTGGTCCAGGATTGAGTGAGAGGGCTTTGATGTTACCATTCATGGTAACAGTGCACCATTATTACACATCGACTAAAAGTGCTTGCTCTGAAATCTCGCTGACCAAATCGTAGCAACAAGCTTAATATTCAGCCATGACATTTGATATCCTTTAGATAACACTGAGCTATGCTTACTGTACTCCAACACAACAAACTCTTCTTTGCACTCCTCTCTCCAACTCTCACTGTTTCCACTGTTGTCTTCCTTTACCAAGTCAAATCTCGCAAGATTTCAGAAGTCCTTCAGCGAGATGTTTTATTTTTCTGAAGGGTCTTTTCCATAATGTTATCAGACACTTATAATATCAATCTGACCCTGTCAGTGGCAACATCAAGCACTTTTAGTGGACATACATTGAGGTTGTGCTTTTGCATCGAGTGGTCACACAGCAGCTCGTTTTGTGGCTGCAGCCCTCTCACTTTATAATGGACCAATTTCAAATACTGTTGTCTTCATTAAAACACAGGAGAATAGGGTCCAGGTTGAAAAATACCGTGGTTTCCCTTTCAGATATTTCAGTCTGGACTAAAGTGGTCGACCTACAAACTGACCGTTAGGTAATAAGCTAACGTTAGGCTATAACAAACTACACTGCAGTTGCATGACTTCAACGACTTTGAGAGAAGGGAACTGGGAGAAAATGGTAACTCATTTCCTGGTTTTAGGACTCATTCCTCAATTCCTATTCCCTGCAGCGCTCCCTCAATGTGCGTCCACTAAAAGTGCTTGTTTTTGCCACTGACAGGCTCAGATTGGTATTCTAGGTGTCAGATGACATTATGGATCCTTACAGAGAAATAAAACAGTTTTCTCTGCCTTTTGTTTGATCTGGCCTGTTTGCTATTGTTTAACCAAGTATTTTCCCAGCTTTTTCATGTTGTAGGTATCAGTTAAATATTGAGCAATGACATTGAAAATCTTTTAGATGACATGAAGCTACACTTCCTGTACTCCGACACAACAAACTCTTCCCAGCACTCCTCTCTCCAACTCTAACATTTCCACTGTTGTCCTCTCGCGAGATTTCAAACTCGTACATTAAAGGTAAATTAATAAGCCTTCTCTTTTGCACAATCATCCTGTATCAGTGTACAAAATAACACCCAGTGGAGCCTCTCGCCTTGCTTTTATCTGTATCACAGAAAGGGGGGAGGCTAAGTGTTACCTCCCACACAGAAACAATGGACAAGTGTTTAAATATTGACTCTGGCTCTGGAAGAGACACATTTATTTCACTCTCACCTCGGGTCATGGCTAAAGCTTGGCTGTGTGTGTTGCTCTGCCTCTGTTCTGCTGATCTTGGCTGTTTCCCTGTAACCATCCAAGCGTGAAGATCATTTTCTGACAGACTATTAACAATGGAAAAAAGGATGGTTTTTATTCTGAAGTGTGTTTTTGAAATACCAGCGATGGAGCCGGTGGCTGCGGTTGTGACACACAGTATCAGCCACTCAGCATTGTGAGTTAAAGTACACAGAGTGTCGTACCTATGTGACATAAAAAGGCATACATTCATATTCTGAACACAGTGTTAGACTACTTTACGATTGTGTGGTGTCCTAAAATTAATAAGGAAGAAAACGGAAATTAGATTGGCCCGAAAATGGCAACCCACTGTAAACCAAGCATGGCCCCAAAATGGAGGCAGAAAAAACAAGTGCTTATAATATTATTATTATTATTATTATTATTATTATGTAAGTATCTAAGTATAAATCCTTCTCTGATTAAGTTCGTAATCTCTATATATTTGTGCAATTTTCTACACTCAAACAAACAAAATATGACACAGTGTTAATTTGATAAAGCAAAAGTAAACTATGAGCATGTTTGGCATCTGAGCTTTGCTGGTTAGACAAAGGCGGATAAATAAGGAGTGTAGGAGGAAAAGGAAAGTCATACAGCAGGGAGGATTTCTTCCACAGCGAGCCGGTAAACACTCCAATATACACTACTGACGCAAGACCACATGCCTGCACCCATCCCATGCTTTCAGTTTCCACACCAGTTAACAAGTGAACGCACATGTCAGACAAAAAAGACCAGACAATTAGATCACAAGGATGGCTGTGGTAAGTCACTTGTTTCCAATAAAGGGAGACTGGCACACAAGAGTTTAGGGGTGAGTGCTGATGGTCCGGGGGTTGGAGGGTCAAGTGAGGAGGGGCGGGTGGAGAGGTCAGGAGTGGTCAGGCAGGTCTTAGTTCATTGGCGTCTCCTGGGTGGGCGAGGCTTCAGGCGGACTGAGCAAAGACTCGGTGGTGGAGCTGCCGCTGTCCTGGTTACTGGTGGACGCTGAGGGACTAATCTTGGTCTAAAGAAAGGGGGAGGAGAAAGGATGAGGCAGAACAATTAAATTATTGAATCATAAAACAATTTCAAATGCATCAAAAGGTGCGTTTAAATGGACCCTAATAGTCCACTAATCATCACAGTAAAAAAATGCTTCATGTGGCCACCTAAATCAGAAGAGACTGGTCCGATCCTGTCCAATCGGAGGAAATTTTTTTTATCATGTTGAGACTACAGACTATGCCTTAACCTACGCTGTAGCCTATCGTGCACCTCCCCAGAAATGCAACTACACGTCGCAGCAACGCAGACCTCCTGTCTATTTTTGTAAGCTGAAACCATTTCCCTCAGTGGAAACAAAGCTTTTATTTACTTTAATTTCAGATAAGAAACGATAAATTGTGAAGACAGTAAAGCCTCCACAAAAAAAGCAGTTCAAGTCTTGTGTGTGATTCATCCTTCAGGGATTTATACTTCGGGATTCATCCAGGTTTCATATGAGCAGAGATCTGCTCATTGCTAGGCTAATTTATACAATGTAAAATGCCATAGGCTTGTGCTAATAACATTAGCATGTTGTATTTGTGGGGAAAATGTGTCCAGAAAAAGACAAGTGTCTGTCTGTGAATGCTACGAGTTATAGTGAAGCTGATTTGTGTACTTGTGTTTGAAAATGTCTCTATTAAGCCTTATGTGTTAATGTGTGTTTAATGTGTGTTCAATGTGTGTTTTGAATCAACTAAACTTTACAACACTTTACAGAAACCTCCGCTGCTGACTAGTGGTTTGGAGGTGTAACTCCAGAGTGACACAGACACACCACCGCACAACTATAAATGCTCACAATAGCGTAGGCGATGTGCATAGGGTCTGTCGCACAACTATAAATTCCACAGACCATCTGACCAGGTTGGTAAAACAACACATTACTACACAAATACAACAGAAGTAATTAGTGTCATTTCCTGTACACATTCCTGGTGAATGTTTAGGTTCTAATAATCATTAGTTCAAGGTCAGAGGAGCGTCTCTAAACACTTGAGTTTTAACACCCTTCTGCTTATGTCAGAAAATGCTACTAGTCCTGTTTTCAGTCAGTTACCTTAAAAGTCTCCACTTTCTCCTCAAATGACTTGAAAGTTGGCGCGTTCCTGTGAAAGAAAAAGACAGAAAACGACAAGATCACAGACCGTCCTACGGTGTTTGAATTTCTCTGACATGCTTACTGGATACACTCTGCCAGAAGTTTGGGAAAGTGCAGATGCAGACAACAAGTCACCCCTTTCAGAAAGATGAACGATATGACTGTAATCACACCTCTAGAGGTCATGTTATCTGACACTCCACACAGACAATGCAGGATTTTAAAGTGACCCCGTTCTATTCTGTGCTACTGAAAAGGTGCTAAGAGGGGTCGGTTTTCATGAAAACATAACCAAGAGAGTGCAGAATGAACAGGACGGGAGGAGGTGACAGTACTTCCTTTAAAATATCAATTTGTAGCATTTAGAAAGTTGTTTGACTTGTGCCAACTTTTTTGCATGAATATATTTCATATTTTAACTGCACATAAATTAGACTATTGACAGACAATTTATCATAAAATATATGGATTATTGATTAGTTCTTCACTTTTTTGAGCAAAAGTGCCAAAAATTAAGTGATTCGAACCTCACAAATATGACATTTTCTCACTGACTTTGCCTTCTGTGCTCTTCAAACCAGTGAAGATAACTGGACAGAACTTATTTCTACATTTCTGATTGTGGGTGTTTCACAGCTCATCAGTGCTGCCTCAGGTTTCAATGATCCCTATAATTCCCATATTCTTGGCATGATTTTTGCTAGACTTCTGTCAGCTTGACAAAACAGGTGGTGCCTCTCAGCAGTGGTCGCTCATGGCAACCTTAAGCTACACTTGAGACCTTTTACACAATCTTTAGATGAAAATTCAGACAAACAAGTTTCTCTTTTCTCTAGTATTGCATTAAAAGGTCTGTGCAGCCTTTAACTCTCTCATGTTTTATTCAACACATGCTCAGAGGGCACCACTGAGTGCCGGTCACATTTACACAAACGTCCCCTTACCTCAAGACAGGCATACTAGCTGAGTGTTGTAATGAGCGCATGCTGTCCGGCAGCATTAAGGAGAAGAAAGGTGGTGTTAGTGGTCATCTTAGCACATTACAAACAGTTTTACAGAGACAGAACAAAGAGAGAAAGACGGACACACATGTGCAAACACAACATACAATACAAGCCCTCACTTTTTCAACTATATGTTCTAAGTGCATAAATCCTATAAATCCTGCTTCATCCCATTAAGACTGATTGTGTATTAACACAGTGGGTGGGTGCTAATCCTGTGTATTATGGGGGAATATCTTGTCATCAAACACACTCACACAAATACACACACACACACCCCTCTAACCCCCGTCAGGTCGCTCCTCACCACTCCACCCCCAACCACACCAGCTCCAAGTTGAGGCTCATCCGTGAGGCTGCATTTCTCAGCACACTGGTGCTTTGAGGGGCCCAATAATCTTGTTTGCAGCTCAGTAATCCAGAGAGAAGAAGGATGACAGGGGTGAAGACAGATTAGGATCTGGGGAGGGGAGGATCAACTGGGGCTGTACCTCAAATGGAGCAATCTGTTGCTGGATATTTAAACCTTGTTTAATCAGAAAATATTAACAATAATGTATTAGTAGATATTAGAGTCGGGTTGTGCCAGCAGACGATGATGTCGGAGATCAACGGGATGTCTTTAGTTAGTTGATAGAGACTATCAGTAGAAAACAGCACTTTTAAATGTAAAAATATTTCTTTGTATTCAATTCAATGGTCAATGTGTTCAATTAAAAGAATGTTAAGAGATAATTTTGCTTTTATTTTTTTATTTCAAGAAGCAATTTGTTGTATTTTAGCAGTATACTGAAAGCAGAAAAAGGCAAAACTGCGTACACTAATATCTATTTAATTATCGCACGTAATATCGTTATTGCGATATTTAACGTGATCTGACATGTTCCTCATATCATGCAGCCCCACTAACTAACACTTTGAGATCCACGGGTAATTTCTAGGAAATAAATCATCAGGTTGCTCAGTGGATCAAATGATACTGTGGTCTCCGAATTATATTTTGTTGCTTCACAAAATGTCAATCACGTTTAAAATCACGCTGATGTTACCTAACGGACTCACCTGACATCCTCGAGCTTCCGGGTGATGGCTGAGCCCACATTAGAGAATGCTGCCGAGGCCTTCAAACTTGCCTGAGACAGTGTTTCAGATGTCCTCCTATAGCTGAAAGAGAGGAGCGGAGACAGAGCGAGTGGGAGAGAGATGATGGGGAACAAAAAGAGGAGATATGAAAGTGATGAAAAGAGACAGAGAGATCAAAGACTAAGAGATGCATCAAGGTCAGAACTAAAACTCAATTTCTTTTTCATTTTAAAAAGCCTGAAAGCATCACAATGCTGCTCGTTTCCTGTAATATAAAACCCATCAAGCACTTCCATACATGCTACAGGCAGTTTGTCGAGAGCACTGACATCTTTTTCCTCATTGTTCAGCAGAGATAGAGTCCTTTCTCACCAGCACTGACGATTTACCATGTTTTTAAGGCATTCAGTACAGGGAAAAATGTTGGAAAAATGGTGGATAACAAAGCTATCAGTCATGAGGTCAAAGGACAAAGTACTATAAAAAATTACCTCATAAAAGGTGTAACTGCCTATAACCAAGAAGGAAAGTTGCATGGTGTCATAATGAGAAACTATGGTACAAGTAAAATATATAGTGCACTCTCATGTCAAACGTCAGCATACTGTGGTACGTTAGCACTTACGCGTTGGAGGTGGTGACATCCTGCCAGGTTTTGGTGATGTTCTGTTTCAGCTCATTGAGAGATGTGATGCCCAGCTTCCTCTTGATGTCCGCCAACTGCTTCTCCTTGGCTGCCAGCACCTGAGACAGAGTCAGGATCTCATCCTCCACCTGCAACACACACACAAACACACAGATACACATGGGCACAGGAACCAGCAGTTAGAAATGTAAAATTTTATAGTTCTTTAACGTACATGATATGCAACTTTGTCCTGCCTGGACCTATCTTAGTATCTATCTTATCTAATGTAGTTTATTCCAAAATAGAGCCGCCGATCTGGCTGGTAACTTGGCTAGTTTGTCATTTGTGAATTACATTATCAGCTAACATTACAAAGCGACCAACGCCAGATACCATAGACTGTAAAAATAAGAGTACAGCTAGCTGGCTAACAAATGCCTAGTCCACATTACACGATTTTCACGATTCTGACATCGCAGAGGATCTTGAGAGCCACCTTAGGTCGGAGGTGACTCGGCAGATAGTCTGCCACGACGAGTCCTCATGTGTAAACAAGCCTATGAGCAAGTCGCCCTCGTCTGTGACTGGGACTAGATATCTGGCATGCTAGAAAAGTGTGTCACGACTGACAAAGAGCATCAGCCAATGAGAGGCGGGATACGTCCCACATAGTGTTTGGACCCAGGCCCTGGACGCAGATCTGATTCAACACTGGGAAGAATATCCGTGCCTTTACAATGTGTCATCTCCCAGTTTGGTGATGTCACCGCATTATCTGGGGCTCTGTCAGCGAGGGCTCGGCGAGACCCCCGATGACAGAAACACACGTCGCCAGGTATGAACACTCAAAAGATTACAATAGTCTCCGCGACGCAAAATCAGTGTGAAAATCATGTAATGTGAACTAGACTTTAGTTTGCTTGCTCACTAATGTTATCTCAAGCAAAATACAACCTGTCTGTTGGCTAGCTTGCCGAATGTGACCTTTTTCTAACATTTCATAGACCAACCATTAATTGATTAATCTCTAACAATCCAGTTAGTTGCTATCCCCCTGCCTGCTCTACATGTGAACTCTCAGTGTGGCAGCTCTTTAACCCTTCTCCACTATTTGCAAGATCAGGTCCCACACCTGATCTTGACTCCCTGAACCACGACCTCTTTAATCCCCGATCCCTCCTGACCTTGACCAACTCCTCTTGTAGCTCCTGTCTCTCCTCTTCTGTCATGGCGGGGGGAGGGGAAGAGGGAGCAACAGACGTTACTGCATCTTCTCCCACCTCTGGGACTGAGTCCTGAATCTGCTGGGAACCTGGGTGGTGAAATAATAAAATGTTAGATACATCCCCTCAGTTGATTAGTCACATGTCCGTTTTGAGACAGCAGAATCTTCTTAGAGTCTCATCTTTTTTTTTTAAAAGACATGTTCACATGTTTGTGCCCATGTTTGCTCTTTGACAGCGGTGATGTTGGTTGTCAAACTCAAGCTGTCATGGTGTTCCTCTGGAGGATGAGGAGGAAAAACAAGCTGGTAGTAGGAGTAGGAAAATTATGGATGGTAAAGATGCTGTTTGATGATAGGTGGTAGCCAAGAGCGAAAAACCTTTCATGGTCCAAGACAGAAGCTATTGCTATTGCTACTGTACAGTTGCACAACACACTTTCTGCCTCTCATGCACACACTCACATTATTCACTCCACACACATACAGTATACAGTGAATACACTTGTCTTTGATGTTGCTGTCTCTGACAGAGCTGCGCCCAGTAGGAGCAGCAATGCATCAATAATACAAAGAACTTTCTAGATGGAGACATCCTGGGCTCAGACAGCATGAGAGAACAGAGCAAAGGCGTTGTTAAGACCTGTCAGTCAAAAGGACAACAGTGAGTGAGGATGTGCTGGGGCCAGGACTGAGCTGGAATATGGAGACACAAACTTATATCTGAAATCATTTTTCTTCTTATCTGGCCTTCCCTCATATTTCAAGAACTCAGAGTATGACTTAAAATTATGAAACAAAGATTAGGAATAGGTTAGAGTGAAAAAATTAAGGAAAAAAGAGTTGGACGAATCGGTGTGGGCGAAGGATACATAAAAAAGGTACTATTAGCAAAAATGAAACTGGGATTGTGCCATTACCTAAGCAGGGGGGACAACAAAACTGAAATATAGATTGAGAAAAGGCCAAAATAGACAAAATCTGCCTACCAGTATCGCTAGGTTCTTGTAAATTCTTCTGTTCTCTCTTTTAGGTCACACCCCAAAACTCCCAAGCTCAATGAAGACTACAGTGGAATTTCCTCACTACTGTCTAGAGAGCTGCTCATGGAGCAACATTTCCCAGCCTTCCAATCACATAGTTTAAATAAGATCACAACTGGATTGTGCCATTACTCGCTGTAAGATTGATTAATACCATGGGAATAAGAAGCACTGTTTGGATGTTTCTCAAGTGAAAATATTTCTGTCAAAACATGGATGAGATTCAACTCAAAATCAGAGAAAACAGAGGAGACAGAGGTGGGCATTATGGTAATTAAATGAGTGGAACTTGTCTTTCAGCCTTTAGTCCTGAAACCACCCCCACTGTTCCTCTGAAGCATCATTATCTGCCCTGAAGGTCTTTTTCCCTCATATCTTTGTCACGTCTTCCATTTGCCCTCTCTTCCAATTACTGATGATGCAGCAGTGCCATTTACAACCACACACACACACTTTGCAGATACACCTGCTTACTGTGACAGAATTGTGTAAAGGCCCATTTATGCTCCCTTTACGTACGAAAATGTATACGTCCGTTTCAAGCGATGTTACCCTCACTGCCCACATACTTCCATGCGCCCTTTACGTTGGCATGGATGTTAACCAATATATCCACCAGGGGGCAGCCCAGTGTCAAAAGTTTATGACAACAACAAACTCAAGAACAAACATGGCAACTGTGGAAGAGATATTGATAATGTACCTCTTGCATAAAAGACAAAAACAGAGGCAGCATTGTAGGAGGCGGTGGTCAGTGAGGCCATTAAATACATTGCGACTGGAGGACGGAGAATTCTTTTCTCTAGTACTGCCGATGAGAGAAATTGAATTGTTATTTCTTCTTCGTGTCTCACTAGAGCTACGTATCGGGTAGTGACAGCAACACTGCCCCCACGGTTCCCGGTGGTACTGCTCCGTTTGGCCTGTATCTGTAAGCTTTATGGAAACGTGCAGAAATACGGACAAAATGAACGCGGAGCACAGACAGAAGGCTCCCTCCGTATCCGGATCTGTATTTAACGTTGAGCATAAAGGGGCCTTAATGGACACTTCCTTTCACTCACCATTCAGGCTGTTCTCATGCACTATTCAAACGCATACCTACGAAAACTAATGCACCACAATTTGTACATAACCCATGGAATCATGAACCAGTAATTCGTGTATAACCCATGTAATGGGGAAGGCTGTGATCACGAGACCAGCGTGCTGATAGGAGTAAAGGAGGAAGTAGTATAAAGAGTGAAAGTCCGAAAGGAGGTAAGTTGGGGTGATGGATGGGTTAAACAAACACAGGACTTTACCCCAGGAGACCAGTGTTAGGGACCACGTGTAAGAGTTTGAGTTTTAGGTATGCTGTCATCATGCTTCTTTTCATAAACCTAAGCTACATAACTTTACTTGCCTAAACCTAACATTCAACTTTACCTTAAGAATGTAACGTCATTTGTGGCAAGCTAATTAATTTGATGTCATACAAACCTTGTACAAGGATACCCTGTCTTATTAAATAGTACTTTATGTATTTTCTGTATCTGTATTATGCTGCTTTTATGTAAGATTACATTGTAGGTCTGGACCTTCCTCGGGGTGAGAAGAACAGATTATATAGGCTGACACCTCGCTTGAGTTATCTGATCTGTACAATTTTTACTACATTGCTGCAGGCGGCAATGTGAGATCTGTATATCTGAGTGTGGAGGTAGCTATGAACTGAATATATGCCTTGAAGGTGTGTGTCCATCAGTAGGTGCTGAGAGAGAAAAAACAGACACAAATGGAGAGAGAGAGAAAGAGGAAAGTTTGTATATGTGGGTGTTGGCAGAAGTTTGGCTTGCTTTACCAAACTGCATACCCACCCACATTACTGCCCTACCCCTCTGCTTTAGCTCATTTCCTCTTAGACGAACTTGCTCTGCCTGATGACCAGCTAACTCTGTGTCACTGTCAAATCACAACGACCCATTAGAAGAGCAGAGCTATAAGGCTGAAACATGCCTGAAGTTTGACAAAAGTTTTTGGCCATATTGTTATCCAAAAATATCAAGAGATGGAAGTAATCTGAGCCTTTTAGGTTTTGAAAAAGGAGTAAAACACTTACTGATGAAAGCAAGATAGATGAAAGCAGTGTTGTGCAATGAAATTATCATAATAACAGTATAAAGTAAAGGTCATTTAGACATTTTTATTTATTTTTAGACATATAATTACTTTTTTTCTGGAGTAGAAATCTCAAAACTTAATGAAGGTAAACTGAAAAAGACACTGTTTCTCACACACACAGACACACAGACACACAGACACACACAGCTTTGTGTTCCCCCAAATTCTTCCCGTCCAATGAACCAAACCAGTGTTTTGTCTTTCTGTCCAGCACACACACACAGACACAGACACACACAGACACACACACACACACACACACACACACACACACACACACACACACACACACACACACACTCAGTCAACACATCCTCCGCCCAGCCTCTCCCTTTCCTCCCTGTGATTACCTCTAGTTTTGACAGCTGGCGAGCTGGGCGGTGTGTCGTTGTATGCCGGGGAGAGGTAGAGGTAGCTGGCATTGACTCCTTGTTCAAAGTCAAACGGAGAGTGGTATTCCTCCAGGGGCTCCATGTTTACAGCGTGTAGTGTGTTTGCTAGTCGGAGTGGCCACCGCCTCACTACCACTACCTAAACAAAGGCAGCCGGATGCTGATTGTCTGCATGTGATCCAGGCGCGTGCTGCATCTGTGTCTCCTTGTTTACAGCGTCCTGGACTCTTGTTGTGTGTGTGACAGAGGGACACAATATCCAAGTGTGCGTGTATGTGGAAGGAGGTTTTGTATTGGTGTTCAGGTGGTCAGAAGTTCAGAAAGTGCAGTGAAGTCAGATTTCCATTTTCTGTTTCTGCAGCAGGCCAAGGCGTTGTGAACCCTCTGCTCCTTTCTCCCTGTTAATAAGTTACCTGTACCTTCAAGCAGCTGCTACACAGACACTCCTCACACACACCTACACACACAGACACACACACACACACAGCCTCCCTCTTCCTGTCCACCGTAATCCCAAAGGTCAATTCTCAATCCATCCTTCAAACATCCATTGGCGCAATCAGTGCCGTTTTCAGATGCTAGCCACTGTTAGCAGAGCTCGTGCTGCAGTGACACTGCGTGACACTCAATACTCTCAGGTCTCTCTGTCAATTCCCTCCCTCCCTCACTTTCCGTCATCGAGCCTGTCATCCAAGGAGGAAATAGAAGAGGTCCCATTTGTGTGGGCTTGTCACATGATGTGAGTGTGTGTAGGGGGGGGCATTAGATGAAAAGCATAATCTGCAGTGTCCCAGATTACAGTGAAGCGCTAATCCAGGGTGGACAGTCCAGCTCGGAGCAGCAGTAATGCTAGTCAGCCAGAATGGAGGGGAGAGGACGCCAGAGGCTACACTTGGTATTGTGTGTGTGTACTTAAGGAAAAGTGCTCCATGAGTGGTAAAGAGAACACGTACATGTACACGTGCCACTGTGTGTTTCTGTGTGTTGGACTGCAACTAATGATTATTTCAACAGCAATCAGATTATTTCTCGATTAATTGATTGGTACTTCAAATGTCATGAAAACAATTTAAAAAATAACAATCACAATATTCAAATTGTTTGTTTTGCCCATCTTGAAGGCCACAAACCCAGATATATTTATTTAAATATAATACAAGACTCTACGGGGGGGTATGACAGGCAGCAGAGGGCCGCAAATAGGAATTGAACCTTGGGCAGCTGCAAAGGACTATATGGGTTACACAATCTACCAGGTGAGCGAGAGGTCACCCCATATTGTATCATTTTAAACAACATGGAATTGCAATACCTTTCCAGTATCAGTATACCGTGCAAGATAAGTTTACATAAGCTGGCATTTACATCATTATTACTGTGTTACACGAACACAGACTCACTCAGATGTATGTGTCTGACAGGTACATGCTTGGTCTGTATGAAGTACAGTATATTATCACTAAAACACATAAAACATCAATCAAATTTTTAC